GGATTTGCATAAAATTGGCGTGCATTGCACATATTTGCATAGATTTGCGTAGATGAGGCAGTGTTGTCCGGCTGGTGGGCTCACCGAGGAGCAGCAGCCCCCGGCTCCCCCGCTCTCTGCCTCACAGGGGCCACGGGAGAACCGGGGGTCCCCTCTAGGGAAGGTGCCTACACTTGCCAGTCTTGGCACAGGGGCTTTTGCTGCAGGGCAGAGATGGCACCTTCCTGCTGGGTGCCCTGCTACTGTGAGGCACCATCCAGGCATTAACCAGGGCAGATTTTGGGAGCTGTGGAAGGAAAGTCAGTAGAGAACCTGGCTCAGGTCCTCCCTCCTGAAGGGTGGAGGTGCTGATGTGATCATCAGGTGAGCTGGAAGCTGGACCTCTGCCGGCCACCCCCAAGAAACACCCGGGAGAATTTCTGGAGAAAACACAGGCAGAGGAAACACAAGCAGAAACAAGCACAGGCGTTCCTGGCCTCTTCGGAGTTCAGTGAGGAAAAACAAAAACTCCGTCCTGTCCTTTGCCCAAAGCCCCTCAAGGACAAGTGTGTCCCGGGACTGTGTCTGAAAGCCCTGCCTGCTGGTGGGCTCCTCCTCCTCCAGCCTGGCTCTGCTTTAACTCTGTGGTTTTGATCTGATTTCACAAAGCTTTATGGAACGATGGATGAGGGGATGGGGAGAGCTTGGAGCACCTCGAATTACAGTCTCTGTGTGGTGACATCACTGATGTCTGGCTTTGCTACAATGAACAATGTGTCCTTTCCTCTCCCCTCCAAGATGCTCGCAGCATCCACCTTCATGCAGAACCAGCCCAATCTCTGCTCTGGCCCTCCGACCTAATGAATTTTCGCTGAAAGACGCTGTGGTCTCTCAGCTCTCTCTGAAAGTTGAAAGCTGGACCTGAATTATCCACCCACAATAGGCTCTCTTTGTGCCTGAGTCACCTGGAAAGTGTCACCTTCACTGATGAAGATGTGAAAAGTGACTGAAAGCAGCCGTACTGCTGTGAAGCCTGTGCCAGTGTCCAAGCAACGCATTTTGAGACCTGCAGAAGTGCCTGAGTCAAACGATCAGAACAGGTTTAATCCAGCTGGTGGGAAAAGTTGTTTGGTTTTTTCACAGAGATGCCCCAGGTAGTGAGTGCTGCTGAACAACCTGGACAGGATGCTGTGGTGACTAGATAACTCTGGAAATGCCTGGCCTCCTCCCTGTGGTGTAAATGTCCTTTGAGTGACCTCATAGATCACCAGATAACACAGAGTGCTGATGCAGGCAGTCCAGGAGAGCAAAACAGTAACTGGTAGCACTGAGGCATCAAAATTTGAGCCCCAGAAGTTAATCGGTGAGAAAAGGAGCAATGAGATTATCTTTCCCTGTAAAAATCTTTGCCAAGGTGCTCGCTGAAATGCATGCTGGGTGTCAAGACGTCACTTCTGACTGGGTGTCTCCTAGCACACTCCTTACTTCCACGATGCAAATTAATTCATGGTTTATAGCATGAGTGCTTTGCAGCAGTGGTTGGAAGCACAAGCGTTGGAGCAAGGCAGCCAGCAGCACTTCAGGCAGCTGTGAAAGGCTTGTGTGGTTCACCCAGCTTCGGAAGACTTGTATGACAACCTGGTGGCACCTCGGGGTGTAAAATGATGTGATAGTTCCCCAGCAGATGCCTAGATCTGTTTATATACTATGCTGGTAGAAAGCTGAGGGTGAAATGTCCCTGATCCATCATTGCTGCAAATGCATGATCCCAGTGAAGGCAACCATTCAGAGGCTGTTATGTTGAACGAGCTTTGCAGCAATGGCTGACAAGAGAGCTGTGAGTCATTCGGAGCTACGCATCTCCATGTATCTCTGATCTGAAAAGCCTGAACAGATGTCTAAGCTTTTCTGAAATGCGTAAGAACGGCTGGCTAAATCTGGGCAGCACCAATGGGCTGTGTCTTGTCGGTGCCTAACTGCTCAGCAGCCTGGCAGATGCCAGCAGCAGCAGCCTGCAAGCACATGGCAGGGGCTGAGCTCACCCGAGCTGGAAGATTTGACCTGAGATGACCCCTCTCTCACAGATATTGCCCACATGGCTAAGAAGACCCTGCAAATGTTTCTAGACCACATCAGAAATCACTCGGTTGCAAGAATTGCTTGGGAGACCTTTCTACCATTTCTCAGAAAATAATTGGACCCTGCACCAGCACCCAGAGAGGCACAAAAAGCAAGCAAGGTAAATTTCAGGCTAGTTAGTCAGAATTCAACCACCTCTTCATGGAAGAATGGGAAAAACAGATTGAAGATACACTGGGGGCAGAGGCCTGCATGCTGCAGGGAAACCCCTGCTTGCTGCTGCCCGTGGAACCCAGGAGATCAGCCAGCTCTTGGACACCTTTATGTGAGGAGGGGAACACAGCACAATGTA